TTGTTATGAAAAATATTGAGACTGACAATAAAAATCCATTATAATCAATTATTTTCTCTTTTTACTGAGTGCGGGTACATCATCTTAATTATAACCTAGCAACATCTTTCTGAGAGGTAGGATAATCGTACTGTCAAAATTTCACCAATTTTACAACATTGGAAGGCCTTGTAATCATGTCTAGATAGTGGCTCTCTGAGTCGAGCTCAGCAATTTTTGCGGATAACGTTTTGAAAAATTGTCGTCGTCTTCCTGATATCTACCATATCAAATTATTGAAGAAGTTATAGATTGACCTTGTTTTGCAATAATTTCTTCGCCGTTTTTGGAAGAAAATGGCGTTTTCGAGAACATTACGAGGCCAAAGTGTGCACTGGATAGGCGCACAATTTTGGGTCTGTATGTTCTTGGATTCCAGAGACAAGTCTTTAAACATGTTCCAAAATTTAAGTGGATTCCACTTACAAATAGCTGTAACGTAAATTTTGGCACATTGATTTTGTTGCGGATTTCGCAACGAGCGAATATAGGTAGTTGTTGCGGATTCCGCAAATGTGAGTGGATTCTGCAAATGTAAGTGGATTCCGCAAACTTATGCGGATTTCGCTAAAAATTTGCGGATTCCGCTTACAGTTTGCGGAATCCGCTCACAATTTGTGGATTCTGCTTTTTTGCGGTTTCCGCTTACAGTTGCCGATTCTGCAACAGCTAAACACATATACTATTATTTGTTCATGGTTTCCACAAACTGGTTCGGATTCCACACATTTTGGAGCAATTTTGGGCAACACATTGTTTTAGCTATTTGTCCGTGGAATCCGAAACAGTAGAGAAAAAAATAGCGATGCTGCGGATTCCGCGACAAATTTGATTTTTGCCTGTTGCGGAATCCGCTTACAATGCACAAAATGCACAGTTTGGCCTCGTAATGAAATCTTTGAAAGTTTTGATTTTGCTTTACTAAACGCCTCTTGTACAAAATAGAAGAGTGGGAACCCAAAGGAATTGAAAGAACAAAAAACGGTCCCTCCAACCGCGCTGCGCCTCCCGGAAAACCAGTGGTTGGTATAATATTAAAGTTTTTCAATCAACCGACTATTTTAGATCTGAAGCTGCAGTATCTGCCGTTCAACCAGATTGTGGACATTCTGGACCATGTTGAAAAGATGAAGTTGAAAGTTGATCATCTGACTCTGAAGCGACTGGACTTCGTGGAGGTCAGCCAAGTGCAAACTGTGATTACCAGAGTGGCCGAAAATGCAGAGAGCATTGCTATCATAGACTGTTTCACCAACAGGTAACCTAAGACTATAGTTTAACTCTCGATTACGAAACTTAAAAAAAAATGTTGGTTAAAAAGGAATTAATCGCAAAGTTAAAACAATAAAAAGTGAAAGAGCGTCCTCTCCGACTGAGAGAATTAACGTATCAAGGCCATAGAATGAGTACCAGTTATAATAAATGCCATTATTTATAAAGGTATGATTAAAATACTGCAATGCACAACATATTGACCGTCTCCATGTTCTTTTTTGGCTGACCGACCCTAAATTTGTCTAAAGGCGCCTTAGGCGCACAATATACTAGTTCTGAGCAAAGCGCGCGCTGCAAAATAATTAGTTCTTGGGTAATACTCTCCAAAAATGCCTTAGAACATTGTTGGTGGCCCATTTTCAAACAATTGCTTACTTCGCAGAAACTTTTTTTTCAAAATGACGTGATTTTGTAAATGTTTTGATTATCCGAAAGTCCTTATCCGAAGGAATTGAAGCTTAAATTGTTCTGTCAGAAACTGTTTGTTCGTTACTATCTACTAGAATCGGGTTTGATGCTGAACCAGGCTGGTCGTCTTTGCTATCTATAATATCTATGAACACCCTTTTACCATAAATTTGGGAAGGTCCTGCCTTTCGGCTTGAGCGTCGGAGTTTAATTTCATTACCGGTGGTAGTGTTTTCCTCCGTACAAAGTTCTTGGGCAGCTGTACTATCGTCCGAGGAATCAAAAATCTCGTAGATTGGGAAGTCGACATATGTGTTCCTCTCTGATATCTCCCGTATATCCGACAAATGCTTGGTCTCAGATTCTGATGGGAGTTGTTAGGTTGAGTGGGTTTGATCGGACAATCCAGCGGATCAGAAGATGGGGTTCGGCCCTCAAAAGTCGCAGTTTTTATGTTACTCTGAGTTTTTTTAGGGTCTGGAGAAGGGATAGAGGGTTCTTGTTGACTAATATTATCCAAAATAATATGTTCTCTAATCACATCACTGCAAGAGAAAGCTCCCGCGATCCACTCCCAATCGCTAATATCTGATGTGTCCGAGACGGAATCATCATTGATTCATCACATGCTAAGTAACCTTTGTTTGATGTTTGTACTTTATTGCGTGTTTGTCAGCTTTTGGCGGGCTTGGTCGAGGAGTTAGACATTCTCGTCCTTGTGTTGTTGTCTGATGTAGCTAACTCCGTCTGTAATCTAGTCTTCGGTCCGGTTTTCCTCGTATGTTGGGGTTTGGCTTTGGTAGTCCGCTTTGAACGTTCTTCAAAATCAGGGCTAGGAAAAAATGGAAAAGAGATATTTCCTCTGAAAAACCGTGTAGTGGATGAATTTGATTTCGTAATTGCGATGTCAGATTTTCTGATGATTTTTCCGTCGGATAGTTCTTCCGTAGTTTTCGATGCGTTTTTAATTTTCTGGTTGAGCTCTTTTTAGAAAGGGTTTCCATTTATGCTTTCCTTATTTTTCCGGAGTATTTTACCTTTGAAAGGACTTTGCAGGGGTAAACATAATGAAGAAGGCTTTGAAAGTGAGGGATAGTCCGACTCGTACATTCTCTCCAATGGTGACTGGTTTTTCTTTTGGTTCATGGTGTCCATGTATCCATCCTCGACCCTGTCGTCTGATTTCCAGTCTAATGCCCGTCCTTTGCATAAGATGAGTTTCCCTTTGACTGAAATTCCATCGGATAAATTCTTAGAAGCCAGTTGTTTCCAGATCGTATTAGGTTTTCTTCTGAATGTATTTCAAAGGGTGAGCATTTTATTTTTGATTGAAAAGAAGACCGAAGATTCCATATATTTTTTGAGACAGCTTTTTGTAAAATAAGTTTTCAGTGTTCAAATGCCGTTGCTAATAATTTAATTTTTACAGTATGTACAAGTTTTTCTACAAGACCGTTAGAGCGATGGTGGCCAACTGTACAAAATATTAATTTAATGTTATTAGAATCGCAAAATAATTTAAAATCCTGACTAGTAAAACAGGAAGTGTGATCAACGGATAGAAATTGGATTGCCAGGCAGGTAAAAAAAATCCTGAAGAAGTTCGACTGCTGTGTTTGAAGAGGTGCAAGATGTTATCTCAGCCGATGAAAATTTCAAAAATCTGTCGATGCATAATAAAAGGTATTTATTTTTCCCCAACTGGAATCCAATGGGCCAGCAAAATTGAAATTTATTTCCTCATTAAGTTCGGATAATGGCGGTAATTGGCTGATTTGAGTACTAGGGATAATGCTTTTTGTATTTTCGCCAGTTTGTGTGCATTGTGAACAATTTATCCCTTGGAAGTAGGTTTGACGGTTTATGTGAGGCCCCCATATATACTGTGCTAGATACTTCTTTCCAAATTAACCTGGATCAGCTTCAAGTAAAGTCTTCATGACCGCGTCTCCTAAGGTAAAGAGGATTAGGAGTTTTCCATGCATGTAAAATAATCCGTCGGATTCGTGAAGCTCTTCAATGAATTGGTTTAAATAATGAGAATTCGCATTAACCTTATCTACTTTATTTTGGAGGAATTTGATGATGAGATTTAACATTGGGTCTTCCTTTGTTAATAGGGCTACCAATTTGCTAATGACTAACGTGTTTAAGTCCAAAGGGTGTTCCGGCAGCTTCAAATTGTCACGATTTTTAGTCACTAGTTTTTTGTGTTCAGATAAGATGGGAAATTCGACTGTGACTTGAATAACGGAAGTAGATGGGTTAATTACAATTTGATTATTGGACCATTTTACTGTATTTACAACTTTAAGATCCTGTGGAATAATAATTAAACTACGACTAAGAATAAAAAATTATAAAATTCCAGAATTTGATAAATAAATTTTTGTGGAATCAATATTCAAAAAATCCGAAGGAAAATATGTAGAATTACAAAGTTCAGTTCTAACATGTTTCAGATTGCAAATTGGAAGAAAGTCGAGTTAATTAAGTTAAGGACTGAAGTGATAACATAATTACGTAACCTTGCGTAATTAGAATTTTCCAATTTTGAACCGATAGCGTTACATATCAATTTTCCGTTATCCGTCGTTATGTGAAGGGGAAAGTGCTTTTTCTGAGGGAGATCTTGAAATTAAGTCGGTTAAACTCATGTCTTTCCCTGCTAAGTGTTTTATTGTAAAATTAAAAGGTAAAAGCCGATCAACCCATTTTGTTAGGCGACTATGATATGTTTTATTTCCACAATTAGTTGAGAGTGCAGAAAGGAGGGCTTTGTGATCCGTAATAATTTCAAATTCCGAGCAGTAAAGTAATTCTTATAATGTTCGACCGCCCAAACAACTCCCAAAAGTTCAAACTCATTTCTGGATTATTTGAATTTGTGTAGGTTTAAAAAACTTGAAGCGAAAGAAACTGTTCTCCAGCTGTTCCCGTGGAGCTGTTCTAGGGAAGCACCAAGTCCATTATGTGATGCATCTGTGTTTTACTCTCGTGTTTTGCTTAGCGTGGAAATGTGTCCTTTCATTAAGATCGAATGTTTCTAGTTTTATCTTCTCGAATGTCTTTGTATGTTCTTCGATTAAAAAAAAATTGACTTCTTGTTTAGTAAAAGTCTTAAGGGACTTCCGAGGGATGCTATGTTTGGGACCAATTTAATATATTGATTTGTTGAATCAAAGAATGAACTTAGTTTCTTTAAGTTTTTCGGAACTGGATTGTCTTTAATGGCCTTGTTTTATCGATTGGAGGGGCAATTCCTGATTTAGATATTTTAAATCCAAGCCAATCATTTTTTTTGAATGAATTTACATTTTGACAATTTGAATCGTCTATTGAATCGTGTGAATTGTTATCGTCTAAAATTGATAAAATTTAGTGAACAATATTTTTATGTTCTGAAAAACTTGCTTTGAAAGCAACTAAAATGTCGTCCAGGTAACAATTTGTACAAGGAATGTTTCCGACGATTGTTGAATCCATGACTCTCTGAAATTCGTTTGTCATATCGCCAAGTCCGTAAAAGCTTGTTAAGAATTGATATGTGCCGGTTGTGTCTCCACCTATCAAGCTTAAATTGCACTGACTGTTGGTAAAGTTGTCCAAAGAAAGTTGACTATAGGCATTCTTCAAGTCTAGATTGGTAAACCAAACTTCTCCGATGGAGTCGTTTGAGATTTGTGAGGCAACTTTATCAACTAATTCGTGTTTATTAGGCGTTTGGTATTTGTTTTTTTTGCAGATGGTAACGATTGGACTAATAAATCTATCCTCCTTGCAATTTTCTAATTTTTTGATGAGTCTTTCTGATTTGAGTCGGTTTGATTCTGCTTTTACCGTCTCGAGTAAATGTAAGGAGACAAATCTAACTTTTAGTTGTATTGGTCTTAGTGGTTCGTGTAAATGGACGATTTTTGTCTGATTTTTAATTTTTCCACTCCGAAGGAAAAAGAGTTTTAAAGTAATGCTTATAATTTCTTTTTCTTTTTCTTT